TCTGAATGCACATTCAAGTGCATTCACTTGAGTGAGACTCAAAGTAGATGTTTCCAGTGAGGAAATTAGTAGTTTACTTATGTAGTTATGATCGCTATGAAGATCTGTAAGATAAGTATTTAGCTGCAGTATCAGGTGTCTAGAACTGAGGCTGAAAAAAGTGAAGAAAAGCAAAACTAATTTGAGATACTGAGGTTCTGCTAAACTCTATCATTGAAAACATCAGTATATCAAGAAGTAACTGATTATTGTTTGCCTGAAGCATTACCTAGTCTCTATTTTGGTTCTTTTCTAACTACAAATAACTGTTTATATATTGATTTTTTTTTTTTAATGAACAATGCACGGGACGATTTCTTCTTACTAGGTTCACTCATTTGGTTCTGTCTTTGGCTATCCAGATATCTTTCCGTAAGAATGTCTAAATTTTGGCTTGTTATAAGATGACTGACTGGAATTAACCTATTTTGCCAGCTTTTCCACAAGAATTTCAACTAAAAGTAGCACCAGAATAATTTATCAAAATGGATACAATTAATGCTCACCTTTTAAAAGTTAGTTTATATTTTCGGTGCTACTGGGGAAAACTTGTCACCAACTCTTTGGAGAAACAAATTCCAAAATCTGAAAGGTGACACCAACTGCAATTAACTTTAATCTTGAAAAGTGTGAAACTCTCAGGACATAATTGAGATCAACATCCCAGGAGTAAACTGATGGAAGATGTGACTTACATAAGAAAAACAAGGGTATTTCTTTATTCTTACACCTGGTTTTCATTTGCTTATGTAGTCAAAATACAGATGTGCCAAAAATCAGTAATTGACATATGATAGATGTAATAATGACAAATAACTTTCAAATAATGTCATATTTTTATTCTTGGTGGTATCATAGGAACCCTGTATGGTTTCATAATTATGGTTTAAGACCTCAGATTTAAGTAACTGGCTCTAAATATACTTGGGTACCTCCAGGCTTTATAAATATTTATTTCTCTGTTTTCTTGAAAAGCTAAGTATATAAGGAAATTGTAGAAGAGCTGGCATGTAATACAGGATTTCTAGTCTGTTATCAGTAAATGTTCTAAGACACGCCTTTGATAAAACAGAGATGTCAAAGACAAAGACAGCAAAGGAAATATTTATCAGACAAGGATGATTAGAGAAAGTTCTAAATGCCAAGATGGACTAAAGTTTTTTACTTTGTATTTTAACAAAAATGCTTTTTGAAAGTATTATAAAGTGCCCAGGACTAGGGACTAGGGCTTCATGTAGATAAGAGAAGTAAATATTTTAAAAGGAAATATAAGAAAGGAGTTCCCTTGAATATGTATTCTTAACTTTGGAAGCAAGAAACTTTCTAAGGATGGAAGAAGGTTTAGGTGGCCTGGGATCTGACAGGTACTTGTAAGTGAAAAGGCACATTAGCTCAATGACATGTGATTCAACAGGGACATTGGCCACATGACTATATAGCTTGCGTCATCTCACCACTTTGCAGATACCTCCCAACACACCCAGATTTAAACCTAAATAATAGAAAAGCTATGCTTAGTGATATTTCCAAAACCCTCTTCCTACGCCTGTGCAAGTATCTTGCTTTCTCTTCCTCTGTCCCCCAAATATTGTTCAGGCACTATTTCCCCTTCTGTACTTCCCACTTCCTCCTCCCTCTCCCGCTTCCTCCTCTTCTTCATTTCACTGTCTGCTTATTATTATTATTATTATTATTATTACCTCTCCCCTCTCCCCACTGACCTCCTGTCTCTTGCTCTCTTCTCCCTTTTTCCTCACTCAACTTCAGATCAATCCTGCTGGGTATATTCTGTGTCCTATACCCCTGCTGTGATTCTTAATGAAATAAATTTCAGGAAGCCTACTGATTGGATCCATGACAAGTATATAATTTATAGGAGCAGCTGGGCCCTCCTTGGCACAGGACAATTCTAATTTTTCCTCTGTATATTCTATTTCCAATTCCACTCCATCTTAGCCTTCTCCTTCTCCTACTTCATTGGAGGACATCAGCTGGGAATTCCTTACACTTCTCCCATTTTTTTCCCTTATTTTCTTCTTGGGGAAGGAAAGGGTCTCCTCCCTTTCCTACAGTGCATCTCAGAAGTTCAATTTATAAGGATATCCTAAGTGAACCTTTATCTCATAAATCAAGGTCTCATTGTCTCTCTTCCGTAAATCCTAACAACTGTTTTGCCCATCAGCTCCTCACTTCCTCCATATTGCTACCAGAATTAGGTTTAGCATTTGTGACATGGTATTTATTTAGTCAAATCTGATGGATTTTTGGTCTCTACTAAGATGGGAGATTTCATATTTTATGTTTATGAGGTTTCTTTTTCCTTTATCTGCCTGTGGCCCTCAATTGGAATTTTTCCAATGATTTTCCCATTCTTAATGATTGTTGAATTTTCTGTGGCTTAAAGAAAAAGAAAATCGAGATTTTCTAAATATGGTGATAAAAATCTTTGTAAACATAATAAGGGCAACCTCTTTGTTTATGAGTCTGAGACTGAACAGATCTGATGTCCCAATGATTTTCTCTCTCAGGTTATACGTAAATTGTCGGTTTTTTTAAAAAGCCTATGTAGAGAAGTGGAATATTTGAGAAGTTTCTGAAATATCTTTGACTATAATAATGTCAATATCTGGCTTAGAATTTTCTCTCCTGAGGGAAAGCTTCTGGGAGTAACCCTTTCTAAACTCAATCTGTGCTGGCCACTAAAAGTTAACGTTTCTATCAGTGCCCCGTATTTGCTTTCTTTCATCATAGGATAGTAGCTGAATGCATAGACTTCAGTGACAGATAGCCTACATTTAAATCCCAATATCTACTGTGTGACTATAGGTGAATTACTTAACCTCCCTGTACCTTAGTTTCATCACTTACAAAATGGGAACACAATGGCCAAATATCATCATCCATATTTTAAGGGTGAAAAGAGATAATCCTTTTTACATGTACACAGTGCTTGAGTATACAGGAAAGGCCTATTTTTATTGGTATTGTTATATTTACTGTTATGGCTAACTATATATGTTATCTGCATTTTCAACTAAATTGTAAATCTCTTGAAGTCAGGTGTTTACACTGTTTCTCAAATATAAGGGCATAAGAAGGGCAGTCTTTTTGTTTACGAGTCCAAGACTGCCATTAAAAGGAATGGCAAAAACCGCAATAACTTTTACACCAACCTAATATAAAAATTAACATGGAATGTTTGAGGCATGTCACTCAAATATGTAAGAATTTTTTAATCATATCTTTAAGCCATCTATAATTGGTGTTCAAATGTGAATAATGACAGAGTCTTAGATTTTTTTCTTCATTAATTATAGCTGAATGTTTTACAAATAGAAAGTTATAGTAATTACTGAATATATGTAACTTATTCCCACAAGGCAAAATTTTGATTTAAAGCATAACTGAAACATAAGTGTGTGGTTAAATATTCTGAATGCAAAAGCAATGCTTACAAAGTTTATTTTTTAACATAATTTTTTGAAAAGTCTGTGGTGCACCTAAAACAACTATCCTCCAATTCCTAGTAAGGCATCAGTTTTCTGAAAGTACTTAATGGTATCTGGACTAAGTGTACATTTCAAAACACTCACATTATGAGTTAATGCGTTTGCAACAGACTTCTGAGTGAAGTTACATACTGCCTAGGTTGCAAATAAAAAATGCAAGGGAGTGAGGACTTAAGACCTATTGAGTACCCCTGGAACTCTTAATGGTTTTCTTTGCTTCCTTTTCTCTCTTAATAGACTATCATCCCAGCTAGTACCATACTAATCAAACAATACACAAATGTTTCATGTTAAGGCTCAGAATTATAGACTCATGTAATTAGGTGACTGGAAGGAAACACACAAAAATAAGACTTTTCAAGACAATCTCATTCACACTCTTTACTTGAATTATTTACTCTAGTTTTATTATTAATTTTTATACTGTTAAATTGACTGCAATTCAAAACCCAGTGTATTCATACCATGTGTTAAGATATGCTCCTTCCTATATGTGTTCCTCTAAAGCACCATCTGGATCTTGTGGGGGGTATTTTCCTTTGTGGTATCAAAGCCAGGAGCTCGTGGTTTTCCTTTATTTTTTAAGGGAACACTATCGTGTAGCATCTGGGACCAGAAAGAAATCTTGATGGTATATATTTTACAGATATTTTCTTTTCGGATTTTTTTTCCTCTAAGAGAAAAGCTTTTGTTAATGTGTCACGTAAAAATACATTGTTGATTAGTAACTTGTCAAGAAGTGCTAGATTACATTCCTGTGTGGGTCCATTTATATATATTCCTGAACAGCTAATATTTCATTTAGTTTCCTATTAAACTTACTCAAATATATTTTTGAAGTGCATTGCTTAAAATTTACATTCAAGGCAAGAAAATGAGTTTGTCAGTAAATGTAGTAATTAAGGAAGTTCCAAGTGTGTATTTTTAAGATACTAGAGGTAACTGTAACTAATCATTTTAACTTAAAGAAATAGAATTGCAAATACCCTCCTTCCCCCCACCCCCCACCAAAACCATACCTTAGTCACTTTGGAATTATAACCATCTTTTACGTCTATCAATATAAATGTATTGCATTTGGTATTCAAATTACTTTCAAAGCGATAAATTTTGAATTTCTGTTTCATTGTAGCTTCTGATCTTTAAATGTACTGAACAGGAGGATTTGGGGAGCTTGTCTTGTCTGATAGGTGTTAAGTATCTATGACGACAAATTTGTGCTGAAGCAATGTGCAATATAGACTAGTAATATTTTTACAAGGCTATTTTGGAAATTCTCACGTTGATGTTACTAATAACGTGGGTTTAATAGCATTTGGGTAATTAAGAAAAAAACAGTAATAAATAAAAACGGTAAGAAGGGCGAAACAGACTTCTCCACCCCTCTCCCAACCCTCATTCCTTTGGAGGCTCGCGCCCTCTTGGAATAGCAGGTTCCTGCATGTGCCAGAAATCCGGTCCCAGCAAAGCTAGGTGCTCTGCAATGCCAGGGCGTTCCCAGCTAGGGACTCCTGGCTGCTTGGAGCTTGAAAACACCTGGCGTGGTTCTCGGGGGCCCTGGAGGCTTCTGCCACGGACTGGTCGGCTCTGGGGTTGTAGGCAGAAGGCTCTGAGCGGTCGGAAGGGTTTCCTGTGTGTCAGCAACTTCACTTTGCCGAGATAGCAGGCGGAAGAGAGAAGAAGCGCTCGCGGGCCAATCGCCTGCCAGCAGCCACCTTTGAGCGCACCCCTCGCCCTCGCCGCCGACTCCGGTAGCAGCGTGTTGGCAGAGGCTGAACACACTCGGCCTCGGCGGAGACCTGCTCCCCAGTAGACCCCTCCTGCTTCCCACTGCACCCTAGAGGACACGGGCTGGCTGCTGGGCGAGCTCGGCGGAGGCACGCCCCTCGCCTCCCCGCGGAGTGCGGACTCGCCCGGGTGCCCAAACTCCGCCCACCCTCACGGGAGCTCAGCTCTCCCGCCCGACCCCGGTACTCTGGACAGAGCGGGGCCTGGGGAAGGGCCCCTGAACTGCGCGGACGCTGAACGGGACGCGCTTCAGAAGCGCACGAGTCTGCGGCCACGCGCGCTCCGATGGCCGCCAGGAGCTGAGCTCAGGGTAGGAGGAGGAAGCGACAAGTCGCCCCGAAGCTGAGCTGCACGTTTCTAAGGTAGGGAGGAGGAAGATGCCCCAATGAAGTTGATCTTTGAGCCAAGGAGGCTGGGGAGCACCCTCCCCATGCGAGATCCTCGCAGAGCGAGTTTCGCTTGACCTCGCTGTGCCTCTGGCGCGCTCTGCAGCGCGGACCCGCGGCCCCTCGGGAAAGCGCAGTCGGAAAGTTATCCGCGGTGGTGCCCTGCGCGCCCCGTTGTGTAAGCTCGGCCTTGCCAGTGGTCGGAGAAGTTGCTGGCCTGCCCGATAGCCCAGTTCGGTGGCGGCCCGGGGCGGATTTCATGGCCCGCGGCGAACGCTGGGCCAGAGCAGGCGTGGGCGAGCCCCTGCGCGCCCCCTCCCGCGGGGATCCAGCTCGCCCGCTCCCTTCCGCTCGCTGGCTTTTCCGATGCTTGCTGCGCCCCTGGCCGCCGCTGCCCTCTCGCCGCCTGCTGCCCCTCGGAGCCGCCGCCTAAGTCGAGGAGGAGAGAATGACCGAGGTGCTGTGGCCGGCTGTCCCCAACGGGACGGACGCTGCCTTCCTGGCCGGTCCGGGTTCGTCCTGGGGGAACAGCACGGTCGCCTCCACTGCCGCCGTCTCCGCGACGTTCAAATGCGCCTTGACCAAGACGGGCTTCCAGTTTTACTACCTGCCGGCTGTCTACATCTTGGTGTTCATCATCGGCTTCCTGGGCAACAGCGTGGCCATCTGGATGTTCGTCTTCCACATGAAGCCCTGGAGCGGCATCTCCGTGTACATGTTCAACTTGGCTCTGGCCGACTTCTTGTACGTGCTGACTCTGCCAGCCCTGATCTTCTACTACTTCAATAAAACAGACTGGATCTTCGGGGATGCCATGTGTAAACTGCAGAGGTTCATCTTTCATGTGAACCTCTATGGCAGCATCTTGTTTCTAACATGCATCAGTGCCCACCGGTACAGCGGTGTGGTGTACCCCCTCAAGTCCCTGGGCCGGCTCAAAAAGAAGAACGCCGTCTATATCAGCGTGCTGGTGTGGCTCATTGTGGTGGTGGCGATCTCCCCCATCCTCTTCTACTCAGGTACCGGGGTCCGCAAAAACAAAACCACCACCTGTTACGACACCACCTCAGACGAGTACCTGCGAAGTTATTTCATCTACAGCATGTGCACGACCGTGGCCATGTTCTGTGTCCCGTTGGTGCTGATTCTGGGCTGTTATGGATTAATTGTGAGAGCTTTGATTTACAAAGATCTGGACAACTCTCCTCTGAGGAGAAAATCGATATACCTGGTGATCATTGTACTGACTGTTTTTGCTGTGTCTTACATCCCTTTCCATGTGATGAAAACGATGAACTTGAGAGCCCGGCTTGACTTTCAGACCCCAGCAATGTGTGCTTTCAATGACAGGGTTTATGCCACATATCAGGTGACAAGAGGTCTAGCAAGTCTCAACAGTTGTGTGGACCCCATTCTCTATTTCTTGGCGGGAGATACTTTCAGAAGGAGACTCTCCCGAGCCACAAGGAAAGCTTCTAGAAGAAGTGAGGCAAATTTGCAATCCAAAAGTGAAGACATGACCCTCAATATTTTACCTGAGTTCAAGCAGAATGGAGATACAAGCTTGTGAAGGCACAAGAATCTCCAAACACCTGTCTGTTGTAATATGGTAGGATGCTTAACAGTATCAAGTGCTTTTCCCCTCTTTAACTTTCTAGTCAGTTTAGAAAAAATCAAACCAAGAAAATAGTTTAAAAAATAATAGAAGTAGAAATGCCCACATCCACACTTAGCTTTCTTGGTTTGCTTTCAAAGTCTGTCTTCTTTCTGACTAGAAGTATGTATAATAAAACAGCACTACCTAGTTAAACATTTACTTTCTCTTTGGCCTTTAAAATTTACAAGCTTTTCTGTTTAAAGTGTGTGTGCACCTGAGTACTGGGGCTATTTTTGATGTTAGTAATTTCTCTAAGAAAACTAGCCCCCTGCAACTTGAGTTTGTGGTTTATCTAGCCTTTATTGATTTTTAAAATCCACGATAGGAATAAAATGAAAATCTACATTCTCAGAAATATTTAGCATGTTATAACAAAACACTAAACTCATTAGTTCATCCAGCATCAGATCAATGGATCTCTGAGCGGGGTGTCTTTTTCAGTGTCTTATAAGCATAGATGATAGTTGACTGAGTTTCTTTAGGGAATTGAATAGACAAGTAAAGTTAATGAATTTAAGAGCCTGAAAAGTGATTGTTTTCCAGTTATTTCTGGAAAAGGTCTCATTATATATTGGGTGCTAAATGTTTGATGGGGAAAGCCTGCATATATTATCGCACTGGTGAAATGCATTCAAAACAATTAAAGTGCATGTATTTTCCTTCTAAACACTGAGCTCTTTTAGACATCTTGTGATAAAAAGCATTTACTTGCCCCACTGCTGTGCAATGCCTGAAGACTTTGTTTGTGTTCCAGGACAAGTGTTCACTCACATCTGTAAAAACAATTTTAAGGATCACAAATAAATTACAGACTAAAGTTTGAGGAAAGTCAAATAACAGTAAGTTGAAGGATATTGGACAGGAGGACAGTATTTCAGAAAAGGAGAGGTTGACAGTCATCCACAATGCATAGCCTCCAAGTATACTCTCAAATGTATGAAGCAACTGAGGTGGGCAGAAGACATTTTAGAATGAGGGCTTTAGTTTAAATTAAAATCATGGTGGAGAAGGCTCTTTTTGCTTCCTCTAAGTGTTTGAAAACACAAAATGCGATATGAAAAGAAGAAATAGAATTTGTACAGGTTACATTGATAGAATGGGAAGCTATAATCTTTGGATAAACCTTACATCTCAATATTTAAAGAAAAAACATATATATGGAGAGGGAAATGTAGAGACTTAAAGTACCTAGATACCATAGCACTGAAAAGTAAAGTACTAATCAGACTAGTAATAGAGAGAAGACTATTGGTCAGTGTTATCCATTATATTTGTTCTCTGCCAGGTGTTAATGAAAAATTTGTAAAATGCTTCAACAGTGTTAATAATTTTTAATGAATATTGAATTGCTGCATGTCTAGCCCTTGAAATGGTCAACTTCTACATGAGAATAATAAGGTGAGATAATGCAATTAAAAATCCCAAACAAATAAATCCAGTGTCAAAGGAATTTTTAGTTTTGAAAGCTAGCCCCCATAAAGTCAACATCAGAGTTTGCAACTGATGGTGGAATAACTTGTTGGAAAGCACTTTACAAGTAGAGCAACATGGGGCTGTATGTTAAGGTGAGAAAGAACCTTAGTGCCCTGTGGAACATAATGACAGGAAATTCAGGTCTTGATTTCAGTTCTTGCAATGCCTATGTAGACTGAGGATTTGTGAGACCTTCAAAGTAGCTTCACTTTACCCAATCTCTGGCCACTAAGATCAATGAAGAAAAGCTGTATTTGGCCTTCCTCAGCAGTGATTCTTTTTACATGTTCCGTTTTAATGCATAGGATTATAGAAACCAAATAAAGAAGACACCTACTACACCTCCTCGTTTTGAGGAAAGAGAGGGTTAGCAAAGTTCTCACTTCATCAGGCTCAAATAACATCCGTTTTAGAGTCCTACAAGACAAAATCTAAAATATGTCATTACTGTATTGACCTTGTTAAACAAGATCAAGATCATTAAACTGACCAAGATGGAAATTACAGGACTTGTACCAGACTTGAACTTGTAGCCTAATGATACACATTTGTGTAATATTTCTTCACCATTTACTTTAGTTTTCTTTCTTTTAGGTCTCAGGATGCTCAGCTTAATTTAGAGTATGTGTTAAGTACATTGTTTCAGCATCCAGAGAATTTTGTGAGTGTGGATCCAGTGAGGAGGTGAACAGTGTCTAGAAATGCTTGTTTACTACTTGGCATGTTTTTTTCCAAAGTGTTTCTTCTTTAGCTTCATACATCACATATGGATATTGATGACATGTGAATGAATGCCACATAGTACAAGAATGATCTTGCTAACTCCTTCCAGGCCAAAGGAAGCCTCTGGGAAGATGTGCAAATGGTGAAAACATACAGAGGGTCAGGATGAAGTAGTGATCTCTGTTGGCTGAAAAACTGATCAGGTCATATGACGATTGAAGTATGTTAATAGTAAGGGCAGAAATGTGTTGGCATTTGGAAAAAAGAACTGCTAACATTATAGAACTTACTACCTAACAAAATTTCACACAAAAAATATTTTAATGGCAAATTCAAGGTGTTTTATTGCTTACAAATTAGCATCTTTGACTCTTTGAACATCAATTTGTGTTTACATTGAAATGACAAAAAGAAGAAATATAGCATGCAAGTCAGAATTCAGAGTTAAAACCATGATGTTGCCACTCAGCCAGCTGTGTGACTGTTGACCCTTCCAAGACCACACATGGATTAACAAGTTGGATGACATCCATTGTTGGGGCTCTGGGGGATATGGTAAAGCATGCAAACTGAACAGCCAGGAGCCTGTGAAATCTGCTACTGTATTTTCCAGGACTTCATTCCACTCCTTGGCTAAAAAAAATCTTGTAAGTTTCACAGATTATGATATGGACCTGTCACCTGTAAAGTGTCTCAATCTTCTCAGACAAGACACTAAACTGTCTTTGGATATTATACATGCCAGTGCTTATAGCAGCTGGAATTTGGCTAGTGACAATGTTTAAAGATGTAATACTAGTTAGTATCTATTGAAGCTTAAACTTTGCTGGTCAAGTTGTAGCTATTGTAATAGTATTTATTGAAGAAGCTCACAGTCCTTCAGTTGTACAGATTGAAAAACTTTCATGAAAGATCCAACATACTAATGTAAATTATATTTATTACAATGTATAATATTAATGTGTCAAACTGGTGTATTTTACAAAATATATGATGCCTACATAAATAAGAGTTGTATATTCCAGTGCTTTTCAAATAGCAGTATCTTGGAATATTTAAGTTTTCACATTTTTTAGTCTAAAATATGAAAATGTTTCATGATACAGGTGATTAATTTTCCCTA